TGAGACTGCTAATGGACTGATGCTTGTTCCCTTCCTGACAGGATTTTTAGGAGGCATGGCAAGCATATATGGATACCAAGGGAACTTTTGCAGGTGAGACAATCACAGCAAGCTACTTCTGTTTAGCTTCAGGCTCCAGGCAAAGGAGGCAGTGTGAAAAAGCAGAGTGGGAAAGAGAGCTGGTAATCCATAACAGAAATGATGGCCATTTTTCAAAAGATAGCTATGATGGTTTGCTCACTTTTTTATGCCCGTGACACACAGGAGAACAAAATATTGTCTCAGAAGACCAGAGTAAAAAAAAAAAAGTTTGATAAGGGAAGTGCTATTTTTCACTGGGGGCACAAAACACTGAACTGGAAGGTGAGACTGGGCTCTCTAGGGCATACAGCTCAAGAACTGTTTCAGGTGAAATTCCATCTGCTTATTTCTGCCTCTTACCCCTTTCCCCTCTTCCAGGTCCCAAACTGACTTTACAGAATGAAATGTGGAAAGATTATAAAATTACTCTGCAATTATCTACTGAATGTACAAAGAACATTTCACAGGTCTCTTCTCCCTATCAGAACACAGAGGAAAACGTAAAATAATATTAGCACAAAAGGTCCCTCATAGCAAAGATGGTGATTTTTTTCAAATCTGCAAATGGAAGGGAACACACGATTTTGCACTTTGACATGATTTCTAAGAAATCCACTTTTTTGTGTGGATGATTGTTGTTTCAAATCAATGTTGTTCCCTTACAGCTGCTCCATTTCCTCTTTGGCATTCAAAACAGGCTGGAACCTCATAGAGTCATATGCAAGCTTTTGATAAAAAAGATGGCAAGGATGCAAACCGAAGCTGAGTTGTTGCTGTCAAACAGTGCTTCAGAGACTGGAAGGACTCGGGGACGTATAAACACTGAAGACTACAGATATTCACTATTAATAAATGAGCCAACGGTGATTCTCTGTGTGAAAAGTCTGCAGTATTAGCTCAGCATCGAGCATATACATAATGCCACTTTTGTGACAATCACAAACCCCCTTTAATATCTAGGGCTAATTGCTTCTTTTCCTGGTAGCCTCACAAGGAAGCAGAAGATTGACAGCTTGCTGCATTAATGTCAACTCTGCTGCTTCCATCCTGCACCACTGACTTAGCAGAGGTCCTTCGTCTCTACCCCTGCACTTTCTCACCTTTCAAAATCACCAGCCTGTCATCTGTCCACACTTCATTAATAGCAAAAACTATAATGCTGGAGAATTATCCATTCTAACTAGACAGTATATATGAAGAAGCTGTTTGGCATAAAGGCCATCTTTATGTCCTGGACTTGTCAAGTATTCATCATAGTTTAACCCCTATTCATAACTGGGGCTTTTTGGTGCTGCAGTGCAAATAAACCCATAATAAAATGACAGATGTGCAGAGGACAGGCAGCTTGTGTGGAAAGAATACAGGTATCCTCCCAAGTAATTTCAAGAACAAATTACTACCCATAGTAGTCCACAAGACAGCTTTACTGAAGGAAATAGTTTTCATGGGAAGTATTTGGTGCAGCTCAAAGGAGGAAATTTAGTGTAGTTTTAGTGCCCAAAGATAAGAGGTTTATGGAGATTTCAAAACTGTAGTAGTTTTATCCCTAGATAAAGCAGTGTTTCATGAAAAATCTGAAGGAAAACCAAAGCTTTTGAGTGACTATTGGTGTTTGGAGCCTGCAAGTCCCTCTTGTTTAATTGTTTTAATTACCATTTAGAGCAAAATAACTAAACCAGTAATTAAACTGCCAATTAAACCAATGATACATATAGTATACAAAGCAAGTTTATTCCAAATATAACTCTAAAATAGTGATACCCTTCAACAATCACAAAGAACCATTTAAATGAAAAAGCAATAGCAATTCAACTTCCATAATTATTTCACTCCCATCTTATCACTTCTTAACATCCGAGTGTTCTATATCATATATACTGGGACAGGTGGCTGTCAAAAATGCTGCCATCCCTGAGAGTGCAATCATGGTATGGTTTCATTTGTGTGTCTCACTTTAATGAAATGCCTTCATTTGATCTTGAGTGCTGCACTGAAGGTTTTACTCAAGGATGAACCTGAGACTGTGGCTATTTCCTATTAGTGCAATTGACCCCATGTACGTAATTCAAGCATGTTTGTGTTTAGTGGCACAATCTTGTTAGCCCTGGCAATTGAACTCTGATAACAGTGAGGAATGGATTTCAGTAATAGAAGCAGGTAAGAACAGCTTTCCTCCCAAATGCTACGCATATGAAAGACATCATTATTTCCCTGCTTTCATTTTTCAGTGGCAGTGTTAAATGTCATGTATTTCACTACAAGCCTTTCACATCCTAAATATCTTGGACTTAGTTCAGAGTTTTGAATATCATGTAAATTATATAAATCTTGAGGCTTAAATGTAAGCTTGGTATCCTCTGAAGACACTGTCTACTTATGAAGTCTTTCTTGGCAATCTCAAATGTTCCAAATAAACTGCGCCAAACCTCGTCAGAATATTTTCTCTGGAATCAGTTAGTCAGATTGTCCTTTTCAGGCTACCAAATGCTAACGTCCAGCCACACTGTGCCCTCTAGTAGGCAATGGGCACATAACAATTGCCTGTCAGAAAGACAAATAGAACTGGTTGGATGCCTGGTTATAAGTAATTAATTATAGATGGGATATCATCCATAAAGGAATAGCACATTCTGTCATTTCTCTTTTAATATGCTAGCTGAAATACAACCTGAGTCATTAATTGGTGTCCACTAGTAGTAGGTATGTCAGATAGAAATGTCATCCAATTTTTCCTTCATTAAAAATTCCCCAAAATGTTTTCTGGGAGCCTTCTGGAACTGTGTTCTCCTAACTCCACTACGTTGCATTTGGAGACTGACCAGTGAATCTGCATGAATGTGCAAATCACAGACATGACCAAACTAGAGGACACTATTTCACTTCTAAACCATTAATAGAAGTATTGGATTTAAGTTTGATTTGAAAAAACCTACCTAATTTTAGACATGCATACAGGTATGAAGATGAAATTGTATTGTCAGTTTGATGAAGCTTACTCTTTGCTGTATGTATTTTCTTTGCAATCATAAAGAAGCAGCAAACATTTTTCTCCCCTGTAACTGCTATAAGATGTCTATGAAAGAATTTCATTCCATAAAGAAGCCAATTATATATATATATCACACGTATTATAGCTTTGGAAAGAATAGTGCTGTTGCTTGTTAATTTCTAAAAGTCATTAAATTGCACATTATTTTAATTAAACAAAGTAATCTAACAGGCACTGCAGATGTGACTGGTATGCATTTGAAAACTTTATAGTTCTTCATTCTACATACTCATGCCAGAAATGACAAGAATCTGGTGAATAGCACAATCCAGATGATACAGATCAATAAAGAAGCTTTTTATGAGCAGCCACTGCAGCAAACAGGCACAATGGAGGCATAAGACTATAAAATAATTTTTTCTTTGAGGGTACAGTTGAGTTTAAGAAAGTGAAACAGGCAAGAGCCATTTTTACTAAGAAATTGTGAAAATCAGAAGTGCAAATAAAGGTTTTGGTTTTAACCAAAGGACAGAAGCAACATCAGAGTGTTTGCGGAGTGTTTTACCAATCCACCTGTGTTAATATCTCCAGTCTTTTCTGGACATATTGCCACACATATTCAAGACTGTATAAATGGCTAATTCACTCCTAAAATGTGGAATTTTTTGAAACAAAATGCGGCAAATATTTGAGAGTATTTGGTAGCATAGTCCAAAAAAAGACGTATGGGAAGAAGAGCTTCTCCAGTACTGCACATTTGCCCATCCCATGTTCATCAGTGTGGTAAGTGCCTTAAAAAAAATTGTAAAACTCCATATTGACAGGCTACAAAGTAACTGCTTCATTTCAGTTCTCCCTTGTGTATATATGGATCTCCTCTTGTATTCTCGTAGACGTGTCTCTGCGTTTCCCCCGTTATCCGGATCTTCTCCTCTCCAGCAGAGGAGTGTTGAGGAACGCCTTTTGCAGCACTCCACTCCCTCCCTAATGGTCCAGAATTATCAGCTTCCAAGAGCAATGCCGCTCTTCAAAAAAAGAGGTAGTCACTGAGACAGATGGTGCCAGTTGTTGACAGCTTTTAAAAAAATTAAGGTCATACACTTGAACTTGACTTCTTCAATCGTCAGCCAATGAAAAACAGAAGAATTAAGCAAAACTAGAGTGCTGTGTTTTTTCTGACTTCCGCTGATGAGCAAGTGAGCTATGTTACCCTGCTTACACGGTGCACAGTCATACACAATCATGGTCATACACTATTACCTCTCTACTGAAGGTAGAAAAGTTTCACAAAGTTTCATCTTACAGATACTCAGTATACCTGATGGATAAAGGCTAGAGAAAGCTGTTGAGAAAGACAGCACTTAAGGACTTTTGGAGCTTGAATCTCACTCCTTACACTGATCATTCAACTTTATTCACTGCTTCCTGAGGAATATTACAAGAATGTAATTATTCGAACTGAAGGGAAAAGAGAACTCTTCCTTCCTGGGTGACTGCAATATTTTGAGATCTGATTTCACTTGTATGTCAAAGCTCCAAGGCAGTCTCTTATATCAGCTTTTCTAGACTTGCTCTTCAATTCCCAGTTTTGAGTACTCTAGAGAAGGAAGTCAATAAGAAACCAAACCACCTAGTCAATGCAACCTGTTAAAACAGCCCACTTTCAAACTTCCTACGTGTAGAGTATTAAATCTGTAAGATATTGGCTTTGGCTATTATGTACTTTGTAGTGTGCTAGCACTATTTATTGGATTCTTTTTCTACTACTTTAAAAATGGTGTGTATATATTGTGCAGAGGTAGGAAGAAACAAAACCAAAACCTCAGAAGTGACCACTATGGACAAAATATTTCCTTTAGGATACAGAAGTCATTGTGAATATGCTTAAAATATAAACGTAACACTCAGTTAAGGCAAGAGAAAAACATACCTGTGAAAAGCCGATCACCTCTCCATTTTCATCGAGCACGTTAAAATTAATGATTGGACCCTGGACATCAGGATTGCTGAAATCTGTATCGCTGTAAATACGTACTACAGGAGCCCCGTTGGCATATTTTAAGGTAGACAGCACAGTATAGGTGTAGTGAGCTAATGCAAAGGTGTGCTGTTTTATTTTCTCCATTCCACCTACAAAAGAAAAGTGCACGTACATGTCAGATGCCTTATTTTTATGGAAATGTAAAAAAGGATGATTTTTCAGAATGGTGTAGCAGGGAGGTAACTAGCACAAAATTGGAAGTTTTGGGTTCTTTTAAATGAATATACAATTTGCAAAAGTTTCCTTCCTCATACAAAAGCTTCAGAAGTACTGTTGCACCAAGGATTTATCTACAATTAATCTACTGTAGAAAACTAAAGTTACACTGAAATGGATTCACGTGCATTACAATATTGATAGTTCCAGCCTATACATATCACTAAGACGTTCTGGCACAATTAATTTGAAAAGCAAGTTTTTCTCCAAATCTGGCTCTGGAGATCATGGGAACGAGGCACAGCACAGAAAGCAAATTGCTATGTCTAAGATAAAATAAAAATAGTAAAATTCTAAATGAAATTACAAAATACAAGTGTTAGTCTACAAGGAATTTACTTGAATACTGAAGAAATATTCTTCCAAGCCTGCTCTTCTTTTTGCAGAAGAAAAAGAAAGAGGATATTGTGAAGACCTCATTGACTACACCCATGCAATCTATTTGCTCCTGAGAAGCTTTCCAGACAAGTTTTCACAAAACTTGGCCTGGAAAAAGCATGAAGAGGAAATATGTTGTCTTTCTTTGCTTTTTTTTTTTTTTTTTTGCTACACTGAGGAGTCTGGAAAAGAGGACTGCAGAGATTTCCTGACAGATGAAGACCTCTTATACATCTCTGCTTTCTGAGAAGAGGTTGTGTCTCTGTTAGATGTCCCTATCGAAATGGCTTCTCATTCTTGTGCTTCTATATGCCTATATGCCATAGGATGATATACCATGGTCACCTATGGCTTTGGGGATATTTTGATTCTCTGCAGAAAGCTAAAACATAAGTGCCAGATACAAAACCAGCCATTTCAGTCAAAGGAAAACATATGTAATCTGAAACAAAGAAGTACGTTGTGATATTCACGGAGATAAACCGCTGACAGGAAACAAGTAACTGGGTATGACAATAAATACAGTACGAGAAAAGGAATAACCCTAACCCTAACCCTAATCAAACAGTAATTTATGACATGGAACAAGAAAAGTACAAGTAATCTTCAAAGTAAGATTCAAAGCATCTTTATGGAAGACAATTAGACGATAACAATATGATCTCTAAGTATTGTAAGAAACACAGGGAGATACCTGAAGGATAACAACATGTTTAAACCCAATCAAATCTCCACTGGGGACAGCTGGAATTTTGGCTGAAAATCCAAAGTGGTTTCTGTTATGCATACTATGAATTGCATATGGTGGGCCTACATCATGTGGAAAAAAAAAAAGGAAAGAATAATTTCCTCAAAAGCCTCTGGAAGTAGAACAGTATTTTTCTGCCTGGGTTTTAGACCCAGAGTGTTTTATGTAATGTTGAGTATCTTACTTGAGGTACATCAGCATTTCTGTAACTAAAAAGATGCTTGACATTTTCTTTTGCTTTCTTTTTTTAAACTGCTTATCTGAATTTCACACTTCTGCGCATACCATTTTTATATCTGAGTATCTGGAAACTTCCACAGTCTGATATAACTGCCCTTGGATAGAAATCTTGTAATCTGCTTGTTGACTTTTGTGCCTTTACTCGTAAAAAGACTGTGTCATTCATGAATGTAAATAAAGGAAAAAAATAAGATATCTTTCTCCTGACATACAGAAGAATTACAGCAACTTCTGTTATTTCACTTTTCTTCACGTTTCTATATTATGTGCCATGTCCTTTAGATAAGCTAGAAGAGCAGACAGTAAAAGCATAGAAACAGATTAGATATAAGGTGGAAGTACATTTTTTGGTGCTAAAGAATAATAAAGAGGAATAAGGTATTTAATGAGATACTAACACACAAAGCACTTTCAAGGACATTGCCAGAAGCTAATCAGTACAATTTCTAGATGTTAGCCACAGTAAACTTGGCAAACATCTCTAGAACATTTTGGTCTGAAAGATGATTTGTATTTTCAGAGTCTTTGAGAATAAAAGATTGCCTAGTCAGAGATGTCCTAGTCATTGTTTGGTAGAAGTTAAGAGTCTTGAAATTGGGGGGGGGGGGGGGGGGGGGGAGGTTATTTCTG